CACGCACGCACACACACAGACACGCGCACACACGCACACACACAGACACGCACGCACACACACAGACACGCGCACACACGCACACACACAGACACGCACGCACACACACAGACACGCACATACGCGCACACACGCACACACACAGACATACACAGTACACAGACACACACACAGACATACACAGACACACACACACACACACAGACACACAGACATACACACACACACAGACACACAGACATACACACACACACACAGACATACACAGTACACAGACACACACACAGACATACACAGACACACACACACACACACACACAGACACAGACACACACACACAGACACACACATACACAGACACACATACACACACACACACACACAGACATACACAGACACACAGACACGCACACACACAGACACAGACACGCACAGACACGCACAGACACGCACAGACACGCACAGACACGCACAGACACACACAGACACACACAGACACGCACGCACACACACAGACGCGCACACACACGCACACACACGCACACGCGCACACACACACAGACACACACACAGACACACACACAGACACACGCACAGACACGCACACACACGCACACGCACAGACACACACAGACACGCACACACAGTGACTGACAGTGACCCTGGTGCAGATGCTGGCGTTGGGGAACCAGGTGGGGAAGCTGTACGTGTGGGACCTGGAGGTGGAGGACCCGCACAAAGCCAAGTACGTTGTTCCTCTGGAGCCACACATGGTTTAGGACTTTACTGGTTTGTTTTGGTCTCAGCTGAGATCCAAGAGTCTGGACTTGGATCAGCAGATCTCAGACCGGTCTGGTTTTATTGGCTCAGAAACACATGACTGGAAAATAAAATAAAACATTATTGATGTAGGAGTGGGATAGTTCAGTCCCATCATAATCCTGAACACTAAAACCTTTATTCTAATATTTATCTTTACAATGTCTTTATTTTGATGAACTCCCACAGCAGTCATTCTGACTTTTGAATTAAACATTAATTTCCAGTTGCTTGGCAACAAACATTTTAAAGCTTTAGGTCCTGGTCCTGGTCCCGGTCTCGGCCCTGGTCCAGGTCCCGGTCCCGGTCTTGGTCCCGGTCCTCTGTGAGTTGCAGTAGTTTCTAAAGTGTTAAAGTGACTGATGTGTTTCCTGCAGATGCACGACTCTGACTCTGCCCAAGTGCACGTCAGCGATCAGACAAACCAGCTTCAGCCGCGACAGCAGCGTCCTCATCGCCGTCTGCGACGACGCCTCCATCTGGCGCTGGGACCGACAGCGCTGAGGGTCCACAGCTGCAGACGATCCACAGCTGCAGACGATCCACAGCTGCTGTAAACCCGACACCTGTGGACACCCTAAAGCACCTGAAGCACCTGAAGCCGCTGTGACCCCTGTCTCTGTGCCTTGTTTGTCCAAACACCTTTTACAGGAGAAGTCCACCTGCTGGGTCTGAGGGTGCTTTGGAAAGAGTAAAACTGACTTTTTATTGTTTTGAAATACATTCCTTTGAATTATTGTCCTGCTTTCACCAACACACAAGTATTTAAAACACAATGTGAATGTGCAATAGGCAAGTTTAGGCCTGTCGGAGGTCAGAGGTCAGACCATCCTCACACAGGGCCCTGGGGTCAGAGGTCAGACATCCTCACACAGGGCCCTGGGGTCAGAGGTCAGACCATCCTCACAGGGCCCTGGGGTCAGAGGTCAGACCATCCTCACACAGGGCCCTGGGGTCAGAGGTCAGACCATCCTCACACAGGGCCCTGGGGTCAGAGGTCAGACCATCCTCACAGGGCCCTGGGGTCAGAGGTCAGACCATCCTCACACAGGGCCCTGGGGTCAGAGGTCAGACCATCCTCACACAGGGCCCTGGGGTCAGAGGTCAGACCATCCTCACACAGGGCCCTGGGGTCAGAGGTCAGACCATCCTCACACAGGGCCCTGGGGTCAGAGGTCAGACCATCCTCACACAGGGCCCTGGGGTCAGAGGTCAGACCATCCTCACACAGGGCCCTGGGGTCAGAGGTCAGACCATCCTCACACCCGGGGCCCTCACAGGGGTCAGAGGTCAGACCATCCTCACACAGGGCCCTGGGGTCAGAGGTCAGACCATCCTCACACAGGGCCCTGGGGTCAGAGGTCAGACCACGGTGGCACGGTGGCTGAGTGGATAGCACTCTCGCCTCTCAGCAAGAAGGTCTTGGGTTCGAATCCCGGTCGGACCAGGGCCTTTCTGAGTGGAGTTTGCATGTTCTCCCCGTGTCTGCGTAGGTTTCCTCCGGGTACTCCGGTTTCCCCTACCACTAAAAATATGTCCAATAGTTCTAGCATGCGCCTCCTGTACTGACCCCGCTCCCATCTCTGTGTGGAGTGAGAGACAAATGCCCAAAATTAACAATTGTAAACCGCTTTGAGACTCAGATCTGCAGTGAAAAGGCGGTATATAAATAAATACTTACTTACTTACTTACTTACTTACTGCCCTGGAGTCAGAGGTCAGACCATCCTCACAGGGCCCTGGGGTCAGAGGTCAGACCATCCTCACAGGGCCCTGGGGTCAGAGGTCAGACCATCCTCACACAGGGCCCTGGGGTCAGAGGTCAGACCATCCTCACACAGGGCCCTGGGGTCAGAGGTCAGACATCCTCACAGGGCCCTGGGGTCAGAGGTCAGACCCTGGGTTAAAACATTTGGAGTTAGACTAGTTAAGTTTCATTAGTGTGATTAGTGTCGAAGTCTCCAGCAGCACATGTGGCTTTAATAAAGCTATTTTTATACAGCAGGTTTCCTGTGTTGATTTTCAATAATAATTACATATATATATATTCATATATAATACTAGTATAGTATAAATATATGTGTATATACGTATATTATGTGACGCCTCTGTGCTTGAGTTTGGGAATGATCCATGTCTCACTCAGAAAGGCAGTGATGGAGGAAGAAGACGTGATGTGGAGTCAGCCTCAGACCTGAGGTGAAGCCGTATCCATGGAAACAGATGTGGCCAGACCATGTTTAAAGAGCGACTAAACACCTGTGCCCAGCCTGACTCCGCCCACATGAAGATTTGAACATTTTCTCTTAAAAGGGCGTTGCCTGGAGGACCAAGGGACAAGAAGGGGGGCTTAGAGTTGGGCGTGGTCTGGGCTGTGATTGACAGCTCTCTTGTCACACAAAAAAACAGACAGTTGTCATTGTTGCTTAAAGCAATAGTTTACAGACCAGAAAGTCTCATTCCACCCTTGTTTACACACTAAGATAATTGTAAAGCTACACACCTGAACCTAATCACACTCAATAATCTCAGAATGACTCATGTAATTTAATTTTAATCCACTAGATGGCGCCAGAATACTCCAAACTGCAGCTGGGGCGTGTGTGAGAGTTGAATGGGTTCACATCACTGGCTCTGACAGACTGACGTCACACAAAACTGATGTCATAGAGAACTTCAGAGTCAATGGAGAGGCCAGAACCAAATTCAAATGTAGTACCACCAAAAAGGTAGAGAGGGCGCCACACAGCGTATTTTGGCTCAAAAGTGATATTTTATCTAATTTGAACTAAAATGTCAAAAAAATGACCAGGATATGTAGACAGCACTACAATAAACATACTTATGCAGTTTATGAGTTTAAAAAAGTTGATTTGGTGTTTAGTCGCTCTGTTTCCATCTAAGGTCATGTTCAGTGATCCATGAGCAGAACAGTTTTTATCTTTACTCTCTTATAAGCTCTGGAAAACTCTGGACCTGGACCAGACCCAGTCCAGCACCAGACCAGGCTTAGACCGGGCTTAGACCAGGCTTAGACCAGGCTTAGACCGGGTTTAGACCGGGCTTAGACCGGGCTTAGACCAGGCTTAGACCGGGCTTAGACCAGGCTTAGACCAGGCTTAGACCGGGCTTAGACCAGGCTTAGACCGGGCTTAGACCGGGCTTTCACTGCCACAGCAGGTGGTTTGCCCAAAGACTGAAAATGACTATTTCTGAATTTAACATTGAAACGAATGGAGCAGTGAAAATGTATAAAGATAAATCAGTAAAAGTGAGAACAACAGAAACAGAAAAAGTCACAAAAGTATGAAGAGCACAGAAACTGAAAAATGACTTTCTAAAACTAAAGCCGTCAAATTGACTGCTTTCGCGCTATCACCGTGACTCATCTGTATCCACAGTGCAACAGTTCACAGGAGTCCACCAGAGACCCAAACTTGGCCCCTCAAAATACTGTGACGTCACGCGCGCTCCTGGCTCGTTATCAGCCACGCACGCGCCTGGACTCCTGCCCCGGGGCATTCTGACAAACCTCAGCGGACAGACGAGCCATGTTCTCCCCGAAGTCCTCTGTCCACGGCCCGGGCAGGCATGAGTCCTCCCGGGGCCCCTCAGAGGAGATCCGCCTGGAGGAGTGTGGATGTGAGCCCGACTGCACCTGCAGCCTGCACCCCGGGAACAGGCGCCCAAGTCCCGCAGAGCAGCAGGTACAGCCCGGGGGACGCTCTGGAGGTCAGCTGCGGGAAGAGTTTAGATTTATCATGTTTAGACACTAACTTTACAACACGTTTAAGGACATATTAGTCCGGCTCAGTCAGGCTTGAAGGGGATTAAAACACAAAAAAAGCGTATTATTAAAGTATTATCTGAACTTCGCCTCTGAGCAGAGCGTTATTCACAAAGTTACTGAAATACATTTGATTAAGCACATTATTTTAGAACCATTTCAGTGAGAATGAAGTCTTTTAATGTTATTCCCCTCAAACATTTACACTTTAAAACTAGAGTAGAGGAACTTCTTTCATATTAGTCCAACAGAAAGTGTCTAAACTGAGACCAGACCAGACCAAACCAGACCACACTCTTTATACTGTTAGAAGAATGATACGGTTTGGGTTAGGGTTAGGGCTGAGTGAGAAAACCTGTGTCTGTGGATGAGGGCGTCCCTGGGGTTTATTGAG